CGATTTTCCGGCAAGGAGATTTCCGGCGAGCTTCCGAAGAAGCTCTGGTGGCACCTCTCCGGGCAGTTTTTTGTGCATTTTTTGACTCCATCGCCCTCTCCTCACCTTTCCCTTCAATCCTTCTTGAGTCTCCAGGTTTGTTTTGAACTTTTGCCTTTTTAATTTTGGAGAATCGAATTGTGGTTGTAGGTGAGGGGGAATTATGAATTACCTAGAACAATGCCTCGGTGTGTGTGTGGTTATTCTCCTCACGTATGGTGTATGGTTTGGATGTTTTTGCAGGATGGCGGATACCGCCCACCCGTACATTGGCTACTTGGTGAATCATCACAAGTACGGGGATAGGTTCGAAGAGTGGAAGAACAATGATGTGGGACCTCATTGGTTCTTGGAACTGGACATGTTCACCATGTTCAAGTGTTGGGTGATGATGTCTCGGGTGCTCATCCATCCCACTGGCGGAGTCTATTATAATGAGTTTTAGGGCACTCATTGAGAGATGAAGGATGATCAATAGAGCAATGAGTGCCCTAAAACTCATTATAATCAACTCTCAATCACAATACGAAACTTGTGAACCAAACTTGACGTTTGTCTTTGATTAAAACCAAAATCTCAGTTTGCAACATAATTGAATGACCTTAAATAGACCTAGGCTAGCTAACAAACTAATACGAAAGTTCAATTTACAAACAAAAATGAAATCAAACTCATAACGGAAAAGGTAAAAACTCCTGTCGGAATCCTAATCCGAATAGGATTCGGATTCTTGATCAAGCAAGACAATTTCCATCATGCTTCGGATGATCTTGCTGGCCTTCGTTCGAAGCCCTCCAAGCTTCGTTCTAGTCATCTAGTTTCATGACGTTGCATTATGAAAGGCCTAGTTTCACGTGGCATCAACCTTGCAACTCAAACCTGGCTCAAACTCCTTGAATTGAAGCTCAAAGTCACGTTCATGAACTCGTTTCCAGACTTTGGCAATTTTGCCCGTTTGATCGACCAGAAAAACAACCTTCTGTGCTTCCTTTTGAGCTCCAGAATTTTTACCAAGCCAATCACAAGTTGCACACGTCCAAAGTTGGCCATTTGAAACTGTATAAAGACTTAGCCAAAAATTAACGTTCTTTATAGTACTTAGCTTGCCTTCAAGATCAATCAATTCACTTGTGTTATCGGCCAATTGGAGATCATATCAGTCCATCCCCCATAAAAAAGCTTTGACCTCAAAGCATTGGTCCTCCGTTCTTTAAAAGCTTCAGCAAATCGATCCCAAATTGGATCGAAAGAGACCTTCCCAAACTGCCATTTATGGAAAATTAGGGCTTCGTGCTTCACGTCTCGAATTGGGGTTTTCGAATTTGAGCATCTCCAGCGCAATCCACCACCACCATCGTCTTCGTCATAATTTGAATCGATTTTATAGGTGGGTCTCGTGGCTCGAATCGTCGTCCTCGTCGTTGAATCGTCGTTCGTGCCTTTCCCGCTATCATCGACTTTCAAAATTGCAAAACCGAGAAGTTCTGAATTTGATTTGGGCGTTTCCCCTACAGAGATCTTCGCCTCAATGTAAGCTTCGTACAGCTTCAAACATCAATTTCCAATGATTATGCATTGCCAGTTTGCGCCGAATCGTCCTCAGCTGTTCCAACCAATAGAACTGATTTTAGCTCATTGTCACTCGTTTTCAAGGCAATTCGGGCTCAAATCGGTTGTGGTAATCTAGCGGCTTCCGATTCAATCCAAGAAGGAGTGAATTTTCCCCAGATCTCCGCCCAATTCCTCCTCTCTCCTGCTCTCCTTCGGTGGCGTGTTACAGTGTTGTCGACGGCGAGGCTTTCTTGTCTTCTTGTATGCCGTCAACATGATCCACTGGGTTGTGATCCATTGGGTTCACCGTTGGCGCATCGCCGATTCTCCTCTAATTACCTCTGATCATTGCGAACTTCCTCTGGTGATAGAGGTTTCAGCAGGAACTTCTTCCCCCATGTCGTACCTTGTAGCAATACGCCCTTCCATTATGACATAATCCTCGGTCGAATTGACAGGGACGTCCTAGGAGTGATTGAGCTGCCTGAATTGGAGCAACGTCAAACATGAGCTCATCATTGTATTCCCCGATTTCGAAATTGACGAGTGCTTGCTTCGTGACTCTGAGTGCTCCATGATCATTAAGCCAATGAAGATTGTACAACTATGGATGCTTGATCGTACTCAGGCCGAGTTTCCTTACCACGTATTGGCTGATGATGTTGGCGCAACTGCAACCATCAACAATCAAAGATAACAAACTTTCATTAACGATACAACAAGAATGAAACAGGTTATCACTCTATTATGGGTCTGGAGACGATTCCAATGTCATTGCTCTCCTGCTGACTGCAAAGATTTTTCTAGGAGCAGCTTCAACTTCAATATCCTCATCAATTTCTTCTCCTTCTGAGCTTTTCTCCTTGTCGGACACATAATCGCCATCTTGAATCACCAAGCCTTTCATGTTGGGACATTGGTTCTCTTTGTGTCCCCGACCGTGGCACTTAAAGCACGAGATGCCACCAGAGCACTCAGTAGCTGCTGAGGAATAGGTTAAGGTGATAATTTACCCACATTGGGCCTCGTTTGAGTCGGATTGGGATCGATGCTTGCCTCTACTGCTGGTTTGGCCGATGGAGAGAATAATTGGGTGGTCGACTTCTGCTGCCTCTCGATTTTGATGGCCAAGTGAACAACCTATTCCATTCAACAAACGAACTTAATTCCACCTCATGACGGATTTCCCAGTTTAAACCATGAAGGAATCGATCTATGGTGGCTTCTCGACCCTCCCTAATGCCAGCTCTCAATATGAACAATTCAAGCTCACGAAAGTAATCCTCCATCGACCTTGATCCTTGTCGAATTTGTAGAAGGGATTCGTGCAATTCCCGCTGATAGTATCTCAAAACAAACTTGTTCTTCATGATTCCCCTAAGCTCAGTCCAGGTCTCGATCTCTGGCTGCATATTTTGCCGTCACTGGAGTTGGATTTTCTCCCACCATTGGGCAGCATAATCCGTAAACTCATATGTCACAAGGAGAACCTTCTGTTGCTCTGTATAATTCCCACATTGGAAGAAAAGAATCACCTTTCTTTCCCAATCCAGGTAATTAGTTGCATTGTTGGAGCCGACAAAAGAGGGAATTGTCAATTTTACTCCTCAGAGTTCTGCAACGGTGGTTTAGGGGGGGATGGCTAACGTGATTGCGGAAGTCGTGGATATTGTCATGGGGACCAAGCTTAGTTATAATCAGTCGTCGTTCGAGCTACTAAACACGTTCTGCTAGAGCCAGATCAACTCCTGTGTTCTTCCCCTTGTTTGATTTCCCTCTGGTGCTTCTTCGTGCACTGTGTTCATCAGAATAGGGGCGTTCGTCGTCGGCTTCAATTCGGCAATTTCGGGCCTGATGTGATCAAATTGGACCTGAAAGGTCGCATTCATCTATGCGATGATGGTCTAGAGTAATTCCGTAGTGTTTACAATGGATCACCCATCGTTTGGTCTTCAAACTGAGTCTCCTCTTCAGACTCTGTTTCATGACGTAAAATTGCAGGGTCCTTCGGAAACAGAACCCTTCGACCTCATCTAACGTGTTGTTCCAGCAACATGCTTCTCCGTCCTGGCCGCTGTGCTTGAACCAAGGCTCTGAGGCGACTTGATAAACCCCATATAGGGTTTGGGATCAGAATTGCGCAGCAATTGGAATTGAAAACCAATCTTTCTCGAAGACAGGATGTGTGTTGGATAGTTTGGCGGATTTAGCTCTTTCATGCAATTGCTCACAAGGGCAAAGGCTCGAGAAGAATCAGATGAAGGCTGGTCATGATCAAGAGGGATTAGCTTGATCGATACAGCAACGAGAGCCCTATAACTCGCTCTAAGCGACTCTCAATCACAATACGAAACTTGTGAACCAAACTTGACGTTTGTCTTTGATTAAAACCGAAAAACTCAGTATACAACGCAATTGAATGACCTTAAATAGACCAAGGAAAGCTAAAAACTAATACGGAGTTTAATTCACAAACAAACAAGGAAATTGAACTCAAAATAGAAAAGGTAAATCCTTCAGTTGCAATTCTAATCCGAATAGGATTCGGATTCTTGATCAAGCAAGACAGTTTTCTTCAGGCTTTGGACGATCTTGCTGGCCTTTGTTCGAAGCCCTCCAAGCTTCGTTCCAGTCATCCAATCCCACGATGTTGCATTATGAAAGGACTAGTTTCATGTGGCGTCAATCTTGCAACTCGAACCTAGCTCCAACTCCTAGAATTGAAACTCAAAGTCACCTCCATGAAATCGTTTCCAGACTTAGGCAATTTTTGCAGTTTTGCCTGTGTTTAACAAGCACTTTGATCGACCTGAAAAACAACCTTTTGGCTTCCTTTTGAGCTCCAATATATATATATATCAATAGAAAGAACAACTCTCCTTCTTCTTCAATACAAGCTCTTCAAGTCGAATTGTCACCAAGCCAATCACGAGTTGCGCACGTCCAAAGTTGGCCACCTGAAACTGTAAAAAGACTTGGCCAAAAATTAGTGTTCTTTACTGTACTTAGCTTGCCTTCAAGATCAATCAATTCCAGTTGTGTTATCAGCCAATTTGAGATCATATTAGACTTCCATTACCTAGAGTCCTACAGTGCTATCTATCGGCCAGAGCATTGAGACCACCAGTTCCGAGCCTCCAACACTAATGTGTGAAGTTCAAGATACCATGGAGTATCCTGCACAAACTACTCACCCTTAGGGCTGCCAAACGGGTTCTCGGTTGCCGGTTTAACCGGTTACCGTACCGGTAACCGCGGTAACCGGTTAAACCGGTAACCGAGTAAAACGGTAAGCGGAGGGGACTTCTTCACTTGGCGGTATGCCGGGACCGGCATGGTAAGTTACCGTCGGCAAAACAGGATTCCGACACCGAATGGGACTTTGAGTTTTCATCGGTGGATGAGGATCGTCATAAACTCATAATTGATTTTCACCGTAAATCACCCACCCTAAAAACTAAAAAGCCCTAATTGCTAATTCCCTAACGATCTAAGCCAGCCAGCCAAATCCCAATCAAACCTCGAGTCAACGACCGCCGATCCCTCCTCCTCCGTTCATCGTCGTTGGTCGAAGCCAGCCGTCAAACTCGAACCCCGTCGAAGCCAGCCGTCGAACCCTGTTCATCGTCGTTGGTCGAAGCCTGCAGTCGAACTCGAACCCCGTCGAAGCCAGCCGTCGAACCCTGTTCATCGTCGTTGGTCGAAGCCAGCCGTCGAACTCGAACCCCATCGAAGCAGCCGGCAAGTTTCTCCAATCGCCGCTCCGCTGTCCGTTGAACTCCGTCAGACCGTCGCCGTCCCTTCTCCGGCTCTCCGTCAACTTTAGAGGTAATCTTCTCCCGGTTAACGTCCCTTCTCCGGTGTCTGTACTGGCCATGTAAATTAGACATGTGGGCTGCTCACCGTCCCTTCACAGTTCACTCTGTAATCTGTATTTGTTTTCCACTTTTGCATTTGCTTAATGAATATTAATGACGTGAGGAACTGAGGAATGAGGATTGTAAAACAGTAAAAGTAAAACAGCTGGTGAGTGAGTTGTCTTGTCTCGACCAGGTCCAGCAAACCAAATTTTTTTTTTTTTCATTACTCATTTTAATGGCAGAGACCTAATTGTTTCTTGGTGAAGCTTAGCTTATGGTGTGTAACTCACCTTTGCTCTCTAGATTCAACAATGTTTGTTACTTGAATAATTTTAATAATTACTTAATTAGCATGATAGCGGAGCGGTTGATTGATGGTCAACAGTGAAGTGATGAAAGAATTGTGTTGTATAATACTATAATTTTCAATACTCAATTGTCATTGAATAATTGATGAAGCAAAGCAAGTAATTAATTTAATTCAATTGTTTGATTATTAATAAATAATTACTAATTAGTTTGCTTTAGTTTTAATTTTTGCAGGTTTACCGTTTACATAAGGCAGAGCCGAGCATAGCCCCTGAGCCCAGCATAAGAACTTTTGTTATTTTGTACTAAATTATTTACTTGAGAACCAAGTACAAAAATGTAAGATTTAAGATAATTGTTTAATGGTTTAATGTTTATGCCTTTTTTTACATGTTGGTAATTTTATGATTTATAATTTTTTTATATTTTTTCTTTTTGTTGTAGGAAGAAATCTTCTCATCCTCGTAAAGGAGATGCTCCGAAAAAAAGTGGTTCCATTCCTCCCCGAACCACTTCCAAAAAAGTGGGTGCTCGTGTTGGAGCTGCAGAAGGGAATGTCTCAGCTAGTACACCTACACCTACCAGTGCCATTGCATCTCCACCTGCTACTGCACCTCCTGCAGCTGCCACACCTACACAGGCTGAGGTGACTGATATGGGAAGGGGAGCAAATGAAGTGGGTGAGGCAAAGAAAATAGTGAAGGTGACAAAAAGGAAGAAGAAGTCCCCGTGGTGGAATCCTTATGATGAGGTTCTGGTGGATGACTACTCATATGGCAAATGCAAACAATGTGGAACGTTGATCAAAGCTCACTCGACCAATAACGGGACTTCTGGTTTGAAGCAACATCACTTGGCATGTGAGAGGAAGAGGAAGGAAGCCAGTGGTCAATCACTATTGAACTATCAACCTGGGGATGGTGAGGTAGGCTCTCTAACTCCATGGAAGTTTGATCAACAAAGAGCTAGAACTGCATTAGCTGTTATGATCATCTTGGATGAGCTGCCATTTCGCTTTGTTGAGCATGAAGGGTTTAAGAGATTTATGGCGGTAACCCAACCATTGTTTGTGATACCTGGAAGACAGACAATAAGGCAGGATTGCTATATAATCTTTTTGGAGAAAAAAGAGTTGCTATCTGAGTTCTTCAAATCCAAGTGCAAAGGAAGAATTTCTATCACCACAGATACATGGACTTCTGATAACAACCAGAATTTCATGTGTGTGACTGCTCATTTCATTGGGAGTGACTGGAAGTTGCAGAAGAGGATCATTAGCTTTGTTCCCATCACTAGTCACACAGGGAAGGACATTGTAGATAAATTGTCAGAATGTCTACAAGATTGGAAAGCACAACAGTTGTTCTCCATTACCATGGATAATGCTTCTTCTAATAATTTTCTTGCAGAGTGTATGAGAACAAAGATGAAAGAGTGGGGAACAGAATTGATTGGTGGGAAGTATTTGCAATTTCGATGTGTAGCACATATAATCAATTTGGTTGTGTCGGATGGGTTGAAGGAGGTTGGAGTTGCTGTAGAAAGGGTTCGAGATTGTGTTAAATGGGTGAAGTCATCACCAGGTAGAAGTGCAAAGTTCAAATCTGCCATTGATTATCTATCAATGGATGGAAGAAGACTTCTATCTTTGGATGTTCCAACTAGGTGGAACTCAACTTATTTGATGTTGGAATCTGCAGAAAGGTTTGAGACTGTCTTTAACTTCTTGCATGGAAGCCCCACTGATTCTGCATTTCGGGATTATGTGGACTCAAAGAGAGGTCTTCCAACTAAGGAAGATTGGACCAGTATTCGACGGCTAATGAAGTATTTGAAGTTCTTTTATGAGCTCACCTTTCGGGTATCAGGTATGTGAACAAACATAACTCTTTTGTGATTCAACTTGTAATTCAAATAATTTGTGAATAATTTGTTGTTATTTTTGGATGTATTAGGAACATCTTATGTGACTGCTCATACTTTCTTTAAGGCTATTGCTGACATCTATGAAGTGATAGAACTTTTTAAGAAAGACATGGATGTAGAGATACAACGGATGGCAGCAAGAATGGAGGCAAAGGTACGAAAATATTGGTTTGAGAATGATGATGATGATGATGAAGAGGTGGAGAACCTAAGGATAAATAGGCTGGTTTACATGGCGTGTGTGCTAGATCCTAGGCGTAAAATGGCTTATTTGTATTGGATGTGGGGTAAGATGTATGGGCAGAAGAAAAGAGACGATTTGGTGAAAGATGTGACTGCAGAGATGACTGCAATGTTTGAGGTTTACAGATTGAAGTATGCACCTCAACCCTCAGAGCCTACTGTTACCACTCCTAGTGCTGATGATGGTACTGGATCTGCATCTTATGGAGGGACATTTGATGCTGAATTCTTCAAGATGAGAAAGGAGCAACTACAGAGGGGGATTCGAGGTTCTTCTGAGCTAGACATTTACTTAAGAGATGTTGATGATGCTATTAACGAGGATGATAATGATATGAAGTTTGACATCTTGCTGTGGTGGAGTAAGAACAGCGTTAGATATCCTATTCTTTCCCAGATGGTTAAGGATATCCTAGCTGTTCCAGTCTCCTCTGTTGCCTCAGAGGCTGCTTTCAGTTGTGGAGGTCGAGTGCTCAGTCCGTTTAGGTCTTCGTTGAGCCCCACCATTGTAGAGGCCTTGATTTGTGCTGAAGATTGGGTAAGGTATGAAGGAGGAAGAAAGCAGACAAAGTTGATGATACAGAAGATGAAAATCAAGACCAAATCGATTATGAAAGTGGTAAGAATTCTTAATTTCATTTATTTTTAAGTTTTCCATTACTCAATTTCTGATTACATATTATTAGATGAAATGTAACAATTGTATTTTTTTTTTTACACTTAGTCACTACTAACTTCCAAACTCGAATGGAGAGAGCTACTGCCAAGCCAAGTGAAGGTGTCAAACAAAGTTTACCTGTTGTGGTGGAGGAGGAAGAGGAGGAAGATTCAGACGAGGATGAGGAGGACCAGGACGAGGAGGATAATGGTGATGATAACCTTCGCACCACTTTGAAGCAACAAGGTTTTGTTGATGTTGGTGGTACAGGTCCTAGTGGCAAGTGAGGAACTAGTAATTTTATTTTTTTACCTTCATGTCTTCGAATTTAATTTAAACATTTAGAAGCTGCAGACCAGATTGCTCTATTTTCTCTATTTGGAATTCTACGTACTACGTACAAGTTACAACTATTGACATTTGGTTTGAGTATTTGATAATTGAGTATTGACATTTGGAATGGAATTAGGTTTTTTTATTATTCTCAATTTTATTTACTATCTTAAGAATTGAATTGGAATGTGGCGTTGGATTAAAATTAAGAATTGAAAACAAAATTAAAAATTGTTGCGGCCATAATTTTTGTTTCTGTCTAGTGTTTACTATTCTCATGAGTCACATTGTGAATTGGAAATTTGGAATGGAAACCATTTCATAATGAATAATGATGGCATATTGGCATGTGGGCTGGCGACGTGGCGTTGGTGAATGCCTGAATGGTGTTGAATCATCACTGATGAATGATGATTGATGATTGTGATTGATGAGGACGAGGCCATGCTGCTGAGTGCTGATAAGTGATAAAATAATGGTGGGTGCATCTTTGAAAGACAGCCGACAACAGGGAGAGTGGGAGACAGTCAGACAGCAGCCAGACAGGGAGGCGCGCGTTGATGAAATTCAGGCAGCCGGTAATTCGGGATTCGTTTCCCTTACCGTTACCGTACCGAACGGTAAGGCGGTATGCCGGGTGGAGAAGGGTTTCGGTAGCCGGCGACTGTTTTTGCAATTCCGGTATTACCGAAACCGGTAAAATGGTAAACGGTAAACCGGTTACCGTACCGTTTAGCAGCCCTACTCACCCTATCGGAGAGCCCCAGTCTTTAATCAGGACACATGGTCACCAATAGAGGGTTGATTTCCCTCCATCCTTGAGCCGACACACAACTCCACTTCATTTTGGATCAGTGGTTGCCACCACCTTCACAAGAGTACTGGGTCGAGATCGAGTAGACACGATACACTTGAGGAGCATTATCACGAGGATTGCCTTATATTTTGGGGGCAACAATACGGGTTGCGCCATCATTGGTCGAACATAGTCTTTTCCAGTCGAGACCTTGCATAACATGAAGCTGGTCCGGGACGAGCGGGGAGTCTAGTACCTTGAGGGACTCCGACCTTTGGCTGCACTGAGGCTGCATGTGGAGCCTGCACCGGTGGAGCTTGATCCAGCAAAGATTCCACCTGCTTAGCCACACCAACATGACAGTCGGCACCGTGCACCACCACCATCGTCTTCATCGGTTGAAGCCGGTCCTTCCACATCCACAGTCCACCTCGAGGACCAAGTCACTCGCCTCGAGGAGCAGTTCACAGGGGTCTCCGTGTGGTTGGATAGATTCAACACACTTCTTGAGCTGATGGCTCGACGACAGGGAGTCTTGTCCGACGACGATGACTGATTACAACTCGAGCGAGGTAGTCACCCGACTTAGACATGTGGCAAAGCTGATTTCTTTCGCCCCACTTCTCCACTTGAAACTCTGAACTTTCTTATTTTATTTTCTTTAGTGTGTGAACAAGTACTATTGTGAGATTTTATTTTGTTTAATCGTGACGTTGAATATTGTTATGTGTAATAACCTCGAGCGAGAATGTGCGTGTGTTTTGTGTGTTTACTTATTCTCTTTCAAGCTCAAATCCCCTACCTCAGAACTTGTTTTCACTTGCCAATGGTTCGGTATCTTCCTCACCCTACCTTTTTTCTCCATTGTGGGCAATGTCGTGCTTAAGTAGTGTGTGTGTGTGTGTGGGGGGGGGGGGGTCATTTTTGATTGCATGTGATTTTGTAGTGATTGCTTGATCAAAGTGGTCGGTTGGTGGGAGATCTCGTGTTTATTGCCATTGACCTAGAATTGATTGCTTGTGATCGAGTGCATCCTATTATAATGATTGAGAAGTGCATTAGGTTCGTGCAAGTGTTTAGTTCACATTTGTTTGCAAATGAATGGATGTCTTGACT